ATTTTATATTATATATTCTAAACCAGTATTGTATGACCAGTACATACATAGAGGCGGTAATATATGTTGAGTCATCTCCCTGTTTACATATATGTATATATTTGTCAATATAACCAAAAAAATCTATCTACTGTACGATCACCAAGCTTTATCAGTGGTCACATCACCTTAATTTGTGGCTTCTTTGTAAATAACAATAATGCATTTCCGGTGAACTACCTATTAGTTTCCTCGACACCTGAATTCATCATATATGATATGTATCATAAGCTATCAATACTGTTACGTAAGAAACAGAATCCTTTATTTTGTTATTTTGTATGGTAAATATTTTGATGAAAATCCTTGAATGATTAACTGCAAAACATCTTTAAACTCGCAATATATATATGTGTGTGTATATAATGGAAGCCCGGTTGTCATCATACTGGATTGCTGTCATTAAAATTCTTCGGTAATTTCTTATGAAACACAGGAAGTCTGCATGTTTTTTACTTTCAGGAAATGAAGCCTAAGTTTGGAGCGACCTGTGAAGTTGGTGCACGAGAGGAATTCCAATCGCAGTTCACCTACAGACAGTACATATTGAAAATAAAGTTGGTGATGAAATCGGTGACCTGACAGAAACTGTATTTAGCATGATAAAAGAGACTGCTAAGAAAAGATTGACATATATACATCCCTGAAAGACAGACCCGAACATATTTCTCTGCGTCGGAAAAGGCTGACGAAGTGTGTGACTAACGGTGCAGAAGAGTTTCTCCCTTATTCACGTCTCGGTGCACTTGTCCCAATCATGAAATGTGCAAATGCGGGTCTTTGTTGCGTTACAAGAAGTTTTATTTTGAGCAAATCGTCAAATGGTGGTCTCTTAAAAAAAGTAGACGCAATATTCTCTTGATGCAGTAACAAGCATGAAGTCAAAATACATATGAGCAGGACATTTCACAAATGATTGTCCCTGCCAAGTGCGATTAGCACACTTCATGTAGCAGTATAACACCTGATCTTCTTGGCGTGCTTTGTATAAATTCTTTAACGTTACGTTTTGTCACGATAAAGCAGTCTATGTAAAACATAAATTAGAAATTTGATCGAACAAGTGTTGTCGGTAGAGACACCAATGTCGATCTACTTACAACAACCATGCTGTGTTATGACTATAAGGCTGAGGGATTGACTGTAAATTTGTAATCATATCATGCATGTCGGTATATAGGGCTCAAATAAAGTTTTACCGTACAACGCAATATTTTCAGTTTAGCATTTCATAATCAATAGATGTTCTGTAGACATACGTGGATCTAATTTTAGCTGTCGCTGTGAAGTTTGCTGCTATGATAACTCATCTTCCAGTAAGATACAGAATTATATAATACAGAGTATACTATAGTTAATGTCTCAAACTGATTAATCTACAGTCACCAAACTTTATCAGAGTTCAAGTCAGCTTAATGTTTGTTTTCCTACACAACTTCAACCTTCAACAAGGACACAATGACATGTAGAATTACTTTGTAATGAGAGGCTGTAGTTGTGTAAATGTCGCTATGTAAAGGGAAATTTCTGTTTTATTCTGGGTATCATTCAGACAATTCACACACGTGTACAATACCCTTACAGACCAAGCACACATACATCATATTTTTTACGGTATGACAATAAAACGAAATTAAAATTTGCTTCTGATACGATACAAGAAACAGTGTATAAAGCTACAGATCATATCATTATGACTTTATTACGAAAGATTAAGCATTTGAAACACGCGGCGCTTGAAAGTTTTAACTTGTTCAGGAAAAACATAATTATCATTAGTTTCTCTCGGAATTGTGGGGATCAGATTTCGTCAAAAAGTTCGTACTGGTTAGATTTCGTTTACATCGTTCCTGAAGATGCACGCAACCAAGCTAAATGTTTACATAGTTTGTGTAAACGCGCCACTTTTTTTAACTTACAGGTAAGTCACAGCTACAGGATGTTGACACTAATTTAAAAGCCGCACTTTAATTGGATAATTAAATTGTAATTAATAGCCAGAGACCAAGTGTTGGGTGTACGATGAACTACCGATACGTCGTAATTAACTCTGGGTATGTATTAGCCGATTTCGTCAGAAGACGTGCCGATGTTATGACAAAAATTAATTTCGAGACAACGAATGACTTTTCCATTGTTTTCCAATTGAAGGGACTGAAAAATCGCTTCAACTCAACCGATATTTCGACTCAATGAAATTCGAGTCATCCGAACTAAAATTACACAGATATATAAGGAAAAAATCCGGGACTTGAAAATTAATTCGACTCAAACGGAATTTCGATTCAAGCGATTTCGAGACAGCGAGTTTCAACTATTGAGGACATACAGTGTCGCGCATACGCGGATTTCTCGCTCCAGGTGAACGATTTTAACTATAGATTATATAGCAGCATTTCAGAAAAATATTTATATATCGTTTTGTAGATAACATTTCTAAAATGTATACCTCTAATTAGTGAATTTAACATTTCTTCATTACAAATATATATATATTTTTATAAATTTTAAGATGAAAATCAGTTGTGTCATTTTTTTAGTTGAAACTTACACATTAATCTCCTTCAAAGTCTCACCAAATTTTTAACAAAACGATGACTATGACAACTTCAATTTTTGTTAGTCCCATCGCTGTACAAGTAAATAGTACATCAATGTACATGTATCCATGAGTCTTTAAGACGGACTGCTGTTTATATACATAGTAAATACTTATATTGTTTTCTGATCAAAGTACATTTGATATCGTCGAAATAAATTCATACGTCATTAATGAAATGAACAATAAGATATATAAACGAACTTTCCACATAGCGGCAAACCTACAATCACTGGAGTTTATTTCAATGTCTCGATTGTTTTTTCTTCATTTAGTTATCTTTCAGCTTATCACTCTATACATTCCGTTCGTGTATATATATAATGCAATTTTAAAGGCATATGTACAGTTTACGACTGACATTTGTAACCATTGGTGTGAATACATAATGACCGATTCATTTAAAGTAAAAAAAAACAAAACAATAATGACGAATCATGTTAGCATTGTTTAAAAAGTGTACAATGTATATACCTGTGCAAGTTTATAAAAAAAATTGTTTAAGAAATTCTTTTTGTCCTCCTATACAATTCGTTGAATGTTGTATACATGTTTTCTCTGTACATAACCTTTGTAAAGAGAATTATTGTTGACGTTGATACTTACATGTACAATCATATTTAACGAGAGGTTTACGATGATTATACCTCTGTGAAGGGCTTCAACTTCAGTTTTCAACTTTATTTGCATAATTCTCTTTACCTATCAAAGACATTCATTCTTGATTTTGTTTTATATGGGTTTTTTGTTATCCCCTCCCATGAACACAGAGCGTGGACGTACCTGACACAGAGTAATTATTTTTCTCACGACATTGCCATCGTCTGTGCACGGCTGAAGTTTCAGACGTTCGTATACACCACCCCAAAATGGCCCACGTACTACTTAGCTCGTCATCATTAAGTTTACCCGTGTCCTAGACATACGTACTAATTGCTATACGCCCCTGGGCAGTTAACTTTCACGCCGCCTGCAAACTTTTTTATACCCCGCTCCACATCTGTCCTATCAGAAATGACATGATAATGAATGGGCATTTATGAATTCACTAGTAAGGGGGCTGTTACATGTGAAAATTTCCTAATGTCATTATTGCCACATTGTTTCAATCATTTAAGTAAATCACGAATTACCAAGTGGTAAATTTTCCTTCCCAATCAAACCTGGTCAAACAGAGACATATTCAAAATTATAAACAGGCATTTTGCCCACAGACTTTTCAATTTCTGAGGGTAGTGGACACTTCTCTGGTGTTAGTTTAAGTGTTTGTTCATTGAGCCGTGAGTTACCCGTGTCCCGTTCACTACAAAAATTGAATTTTGTTGGCGTCTAGTATCGCATTTAGTACACTGGATATCATTATATCGGCTTGCAAAATAATTAAAAAAAAAAAAACAAAAACAAAAACAAAAAAAACGGACTTGAAAATCAAGAACATGGTTTGATGACTGCTATTTATAAACGAGATTTGCTCTGTACTATGTATTTGATTAGAATAGAAGCATGACCACAGAAGATAAATGTGTCTTTCTGAAAATGCGGTGGTTAATCAATTTCTAATCATTGTCCTTCTTTTCATTAGTTTAATGGGTTACTTTAATCTTCAAATTTTATCGTCAGATTAGAGTCAGTGATGAGAAATCATCCCAAAGAAAGAGATGGTTATAGTTCACACTGTCCAAGTAAACCACAGGGGTTCTTTTTGGGTTGTTTACTGGCGCGTCCTTCGAAATAGCTGACCATGTGCACTCATATAATACATTGTTATGTTTTTATTCAACAGATACCGTTGAACTGCATTGTAACACTCTGATTTTTATAATAATCAATGAAGGTGGTCATTTTTTCTGATTTTGAACATGGATATTTATGCTACCACGGATTTAATTTCGAAATAAATCCGACATGTTATAATGTGAAACCTCTGTGAAGGGCTTCAACTTCAGTTTTCAACTTTATTTGCATAATTCTCTTTACAAAGGTTATGTACAGAGAAAACATGTATACAACATTCAACGAATTGTATAGGAGGACAAATCACAAGACTTTCTTAAACTAAATTTTTATAAACTTGCATATGTTTCGTGAGATTTTGATGTTTGTAGTATTCTAGTAGGCTACAACTGATACCTATATAATCCTGTCTGTACGGGTCTCCGAATAAAATGGTTCCTACTTAGTCTGTAATATAATTTGACCAGATAACTCATCCATGACTGGCCCTATTCTACCCGTGAGCTTTCGTGCCCACGACGCGATAAACGCTAAGGGACGTAACCCATGGTATCCCGTAGAAATAGCTGCATATGCTTCCTCCGTCTGTACAATCGATATAATTGTAAATAATTTATAACATACTCACCTCGTTAGGCCACATCAGGTACTGGACCTTCTTTGGTATGAAGTGGATCACATTCTTTACTGAATCGACAGTACTTTGCTTGAATTTATATACTTGACTGTTGTGCAATATCACCAGGGTGCAGGCCACAATGACGACAGCGAGGATGATAGTTCTCTTTTGAGCGGTGGAAGGCATCGCGTGTATCTTTCAGAATAACGTTCTGTAAAAAGAGTCATGATAAATGTCAAAACGTTACGAATCAGCCAGATATAAATGTACCTGATGGGTTTCATTAACTAAATCGTTAAGGCTTTACTATTGTACAGTGACGATATTTCCAGCTGCATGCAATTGAAAATTCGAATCCCCGATAATTCTCCAGGGAATATTTCGATAGAAGAATTTTCGTCTGAAACGAAAGAGTGAAGACACGAAGTGACTCATAATTCATGTATTCAGGGACGTAAATAACTGTTATCTACGTCACTGGTGTATTGAATGGTCGTCCTTTTACTACATCAATTCAATTACATATGGCTCCTAGTGACAAAGTCATCTTCATGCAAATATAACAAACTTGGCGCATATACAAATTAATCATGGTACTCAAGTTCATCTACAGAAAAGTTATAATACACAAGTTCATCAACAGAATAGTTATGATACACTAGTTCATCAACAGAATAGTTACAGTACACTAGTTCATCAACAGAATAGTTACAGTACACTAGTTCATCAACATAATAGTTACAGTACACTAGTTCACCAACAAAATAGTTACAGTACACTAGTTCACCAACAAAATAGTTACAGTACACTAGTTCATCAACAGAATAGTTACAGTACACTAGTTCATCAACATAATAGTTACAGTACACTAGTTCACCAACACTAGTTCATCAACAGAATAGTTACAGTACACTAGTTCATCAACAGAATAGTTACAGTACACTAGTTCATCAACAAAATAGTTACAGTACACTAGTTCATCAACAGAATAGTTACAATACACTAGTTCATCAACAGAATAGTTACAATACACTAGTTCATCAACAGAATAGTTACAGTACACTAGTTCACCAACAGAATAGTTACAGTACACTAGTTCATCAACAGAATAGTTACAGTACACTAGTTCATCAACAGAATAGTTATAATACACTAGTTCATCAACAGAATAGTTACAGTACACTAGTTCATCAACAGAATAGTTACAGTACACTAGTTCATCAACAGAATAGTTACAGTACACTAGTTCATCAACAGAATAGTTATAATACACTAGTTCATCAACAGAATAGTTACAGTACACTAGTTCATCAACAGAATAAGTACAGTACACTAGTTCATCAACAGAATAGTTACAGTACACTAGTTCATCAACAGAATAGTTACAGTACACTAGTTCACCAACAGAATAGTTACAGTACACTAGTTCATCAACAGAATAGTTATAATACACTAGTTCATCAACAGAATAGTTACAGTACACTAGTTCATCAACAGAATAGTTACAGTACACTAGTTCATCAACAGAATAGTTACAGTACACTAGTTCATCAACAGAATAGTTACAGTACACTAGTTCACCAACAGAATAGTTACAGTACACTAGTCCATCAACAGAATAGTTACAGTATACTAGTTCATCAACAGAATAGTTACAGTACACTAGTTCATCAACGGAATAGTTATATACATTGCACTCTGTCTAAACCGGTCATCAATGGGATCAGATGATTTGTTCGGTTTAGACAAAATCCGGATTGGTCAGAACACATGGTTTTGCGTTGTATTTTTCATTGTGTCGCTTAAAATACCACGTTGTCATTGTGCAGCAGTATATATTGATTTTTGCAATTACATGAATAAATAAATATGGAAATTAAAATATTAACAAATGTCTATTCTATTTACACAAAGAATTAAAAACACAAATACGTATTTCGGTTTGTTGAAGTTGTCATGACTCACAAATCTCAATGAAAGTTAAGGTTACAAAAGTTCTACTTACAGTGATAAAAATCAGTTGTGGTTTTCTGTTTATTTTTGTTTTATAAGTGTCTCTGCGGTGATATGTTTCAAGTCACAAACGTGTTGCAAATACCGGTCATCTTTTTGAACAGTAAATGTGGTCAGTTTTTCAACATGTCATTAACGTCCAAGTATTTCAGTACACTCAACTCAATGGGTTCGTGTTCGTCTTCGATGTCGCTATTGTTGTCATTTGTGTCCGTTAAAAAATATGCACTGAAGAACTTCCCCTATCACCCGAATGCGTGTCTCCTGTCTCCACTAATTCATCGATTTCACTGGCATCGTGAATGTCATCGTATGTGATAAGAACTAACTGTGCAAGTGGTAGCACAGAATCCACATCATTTATGGCCGTTTCCGTTTCTCATGCCTTGTCACAACTGTCCACGTCACAAGACGTCGCCTGTGGTGTTAAAAAGCTTAGGTAATTACCCCGTTTGGAACCCCACGCAACATGTTGCTGTTTTAAGATAACAAGCTTATACAAAGATCAACTGATATGACTGCCCCGACGTAGACGGATCGTATTTAGAATAGGCAAAATACGTATTCTACAAAATGAACACTGGGGTAATTTATAAAGAAAATGCCGGACCCAAATGATTTCGCCGGTATTGACAAACATCCAGATTCATCAATGGCCGGCATTGACAAATTTCATTGTACATGTACATGTATACTTAACCAGAGACGTATATATACGTCTCTGACTTAACCATTACTTAAGGACTGTCGATTTCAGTACAGGCATTTAGTTAGGCTCATTCCCCGAACACCAACTCTGCCAACTTGAAAGGAGGGTGTTTATGAAAGGAATCCTTTGATGTTAAAGTTATAGTCTGTTTCAACTAAGAATGTCAACTTGTCCTTGTAAATAGGATACTTACATATCAATAAGGAAATAGGTAGTTTTTTTTGTTTTACATATATAAATGTAACACATTTTTGTAGTATATGAAGTATTACAAAATAGTTATTAGTATTTAAAATTGTTATTTATGATTTTAATGATTATCATATAAGATTATATTTAATTGATAAATAAAATTAAGTATGTCACAATGATACACTGATGTCTGTTATTAAATTGTATTTGTATTACATATATAATATTGAAACATTATCCACATTTTAGCATTAAATAAATTATTATCTAATATAAATAGTAAACCCCTAAATGAAGCTGAATTAGCACTATGTATGACAATCTAGATATTATGTCCTTTTACAACCTGTAATAATCAAGTAATCCATAAGTCCAGAAAACACAATACACTCTATCCAAGATGCAGAAGCTCGGATGCTGAATCAGCATAGGTCATCAGGTCGATTGTCCCAGTCTGGTAACGGTCCTTCAGTGTGGCCAGGCGTCTGTCAATGTTGGCGTATTTCTTCTTCCGGAGTTGAATGGTGCCTCCTGCGTCTCTCTGAATCCGGCTGATGTCGTTCATGTTCTGTATGTCCTTAAACGTCTGGATGATGGTGTAGATGTTGGGGTGGGCATGCAGTACATTTTCCTTCAGTTTCCCGTGCTAAGCTTCCAGATGGTTGGTAGTCCGGGGTCCTTCGGTTGAGAAGTGGTTCCAGGTGGTACGATCTCCCTCTATCCATTGCTCCGTGACGATATCGGTGAATGGCAACACGGGATGTGGAATGTCAGCATCATCAGCTTCTTGGAGGGTTTGGAACCAGACGTCCTCGATGCGGTCTAAGGGGATCAGTGGTAGAACAGCAGCTTGTCGTACAAGTAGCTTGACGTCGTCGTTGTCACGGTACAGTGTCTGGAGTCCGGTAGACTGGGCCTTTCGCCAAATGCACTGGGTGAAGTGGAAAAAACATCCCTTAATGGTGATACCGTGGAAAACATGTCGGTTTATGTGCAGCTACCACAAAATCGACGAAGGCTGTAGTGGGTCGGAATGGAATGTCGAAGTGTGCCATGTGATCCTGGAGAAGGGTGAAGAAACGGCTGTAGATTGCCTGGCTCTTTCCGGGAAGTAATGCGTATACGACTGGTGTCATGATGCCTTCATTCTGTACATAGACGCTGTAAATCTGATGAAACATTGTCGGACAGGTGTAGAAAGTTCCGTCACAGAAAAAGGTTTTCTGAACAGTTATCAGAATCAGAACTTAATTATATAATTTACCTGTTTTCTGAACAGTTATCAGAATTTACCTGTGCAAGTTACCTGTACTGTAGTACAGGTAACTTGCACAGCCTTTAATCCACTATCATCGCAGTTGACCTCCTATGTAAACATGTTGTCATATACATAGTTGGTGTTCGGGGAAGACCCCTGATAAATCTTATTGCACCTCGGACTAGAATGCATTGATCTGATTGGACGTTGCTTGCCCCCTATAAATCTATAGGGGACAGCTGAATATATAGGGGGCAATGGCCGCCATCCATTATCTCTGAAAGGCGTCACTTCGTAATTTCAAATCACAGATTGGCGATATTCACATTCTGTTCCGTGTCGGAATATTGGCTAGAGTGAATCCTAGAAGTTGCTATTATCTAGTACGAGTTGTTTCCCCTACACGAAGCACCTATTTGACTCGGATCAAAAATGGCTGGGCGGTTCGGGCAGACGACAGCTGCAGACAAGGAAAAAAACGCCTGGCACTTAACGCTGATAAGACGTTAAAAGCTAATAAGTTGGCCGCTAAAGTGTTCAAAGATTATTTGGTGGAAAAGCAGCAAAACCCAGATTTTGAAGATTACGATGTAGTCCGACTGGACGAATGTCTTGGCCATTTTTACATGGATGCCAGGAAATGTGATGGGACGTATTATATATATATTTAAATGGGTCCTTGGTGCAATAAATTCGTTATGTAGTTTGCTAGTGACCCCCTACAGGAATATAGGGGTTCAGTCAGATTGGTAGGGGGTGAGGGCGAAGGGGGTGAGGGCGAAGGGGGTGAGGGCGAAGCCCGAATCCCGAATCCCCCTACCAATCTGACTGAACCCCTATATTCCTGTAGGGGGTCACTAGCAAACTACATAACTAATAATATCGAATCTATGTTTCCTTGTCGATATTACAGTATTACATTCTTTGCAAAACTCCACCATTTAACAATGATAGTAAGTACAAACTATTGGACGTTGTGACAGACGAGCTAACCACGGTAATACGCGACGCGGAAGTAGCGGTCACATGACGTAACTCTCATTCGGACAGCCTCTAGTGTTATTCATACGACAATGATAAAGGTTTCAAGTACACATGCCCAATGGAAATGGCGGTTCACACGATGAAATAGTCATGATATACAGTAGAAATTCAATATTATAATATTTAGCTATTAATTATCATGACAAGGACTATTAAAACTCATTAAAATACGTCTCTGATAATGGGTGCGAAACGTCATCACATAGGGGTAAGGATGCCCTTACACTGTCTTTTAATAATTGACAAATTTTGAACGATTGCTAGGTTTTGGAATGGTTCAATGTTGCATGACATGCAGGCAAGTAGCTACACATTTTATTATTTCTCGGCTAATGCAGAGTCTGAACCAAACCGGGCATGATACTATTGTAAGATAGACAGGGCGAGTCCCATTCTCCACTGCCAACATGATCAGAGGACGTCAATGTTCGCGTAAAGCCGGCATATCGTCAAGACATTTAAAAAATAGGCGACCACGCTTTTAACGACCACTTTAACGTCCTATGTTGACTGGTAGGTACAAAAAGTAAGAATGCATTTGGCACGTAAGTACATGATATGGAATACTGGTTTTTAGCGAAATGTCCACTTGTCCGATGAAACCACGCAGAGCTCGCCTAATGCAAGACTTTCGTCAACCAGAAGTAATAGAGACGTCCCCATGGCCCGAGAGGTCACAGTCATCTAAATTGTGTAGCGCAATCGCGGACAAAAAGTCATGCATGGGATCCAAAACGTAAAACATTAGGAGAATCACGGGCTGCATTGATTCAGGAGCGACAGAGGTTTCGTGAGAACAAGCTTGGAAATGTTTTTTGAGAACGTCCCTTTAAATGATAAAGCAAATTATAAAGTGTATAATTTCCTTAGATACTTGCAGTGTAAAAATATTCCTATAATATATATTCCGTTTAGTTGTCGTTGTTTTCTTAAATACAGCGAACAAAATTAAGCCCAGTCTAAGTAATTGGTGGTCTTTAAGTTATGACAAAGTGTACGGTAAATTCAAGTATGTTTTCTCATTTTCAACGGCTACTTTCTTTACTCAGCTAAGAATATTTCCTGTTTGATAATAGTTTAACACAACGACATTCCCAATGTTTATTCCTATGAGTTAAATCTTTACACAACGACATTCCCAATGGTTATTCCTATGAGTTAAATCTTTACACAACGACATTCCCAATGATTATTCCTGTGAGTTAAATCTTTACACAACGACATTCCCAATGATTATTCCTATGAGTTAAATCTTTACACAACGACATTCCCAATGATTATTCCCGTGAGTTAAATCTTTACACAACGACATTCCCAATGATTATTCCCGTGAGTTAAATCTTTACACAACGACATTCCCAATGATTATTCCTGTGAGTTAAATCTTTACACAACGACATTGATAATAATTATTTCCATGTGATATATCTTTACAAAAAGACATTTTAAGAGTTATTCCTATGTGTTATATTATACACATCGACATTGATAATGGTTTCCCTGTTTAAGGCAATATACGTATTACATATGTAATTTTCTATGTATTTCTCTCAACTACATTAGTAATAAAGAAAATCCATATACGTCACTTTTCTTCTCCAAAACTAAATATAACGAATATATTTGTTCATAATATGTCCAACAGAAAGACCATTACCGACCTATTGCACACAACTTCTATTTTGTGAGGTAGGTAAAACTCACCAATCCTCACTTCCCTCGCCTCCTTGCACGTCACATTTCGTGTGTCTTTGGGACAGGTGTTAGTGACTCATTGTACACCAATCTTTGTGTTTCCTTGGGGTAAGGTGTAAGTGACTCGCTGTACGTCACTCTTTGATTCATTCGGGCAGGTGT